ACATCTCCAAACTCAACAGTAATTCAGGAGCCTCTCTATCTCCAAATGGTAGCAAAAAGAATAAAAGAAAATTCCAAATGCGGCCATGACATGTCTCTGAAAAGAATCGGCTCATTAAAAATGGAGGAAACGGTTCTGCTGAATGCATACTAAACCTCCACCCCTTCACTACCTCAACACTTCTTCAGGGGACAAAAGATTGGAAATGTCCCTCCAATCAAAGTAAGATTTCTCTTTGCCTGCCCATGATTCTTAGCTCTAGATCTGCATTAACGGCTTTGCTTCTTCAGGAGAGTTGCTTCATTGAAACGTCACAGAAAGCAGCTGTCCCCCAGACAAAGAAGTTGCCTGCCGCTCAGGCATTTCCAGTAGGCAGGCAGGCAGGCGACAGGGCTGGCAGAATTCTCAACCTGTTGCTATAGTAGCAGGAAGAATGTGATTCAGGCAGCTCTGCTGAGATCCAAATCCAAATCCCTCCAGCTCTGTGAGAGAACATTAACCCTTCCCTGGCCCTTCCCAGGGGCAGAAATACCTGGCAAGAACCCTGTTTCCCTCCTTGCTGGATGCAGTCATCTTGACATCTAATCATTCTGTCATCCATCAGATGCTTGCTGATTTACACATCATTATGTGGGTCCTGAGTTTTCATGGAAAACAAGCCAGGCATAGCCCTTGGTATTAAGCATGAAGGAGGAGGTGGATATTAAGTTATTGCTAAAAACACAGTACATTATGTAGTAATAGCATATTTGAGAGACATGAAGTTTCAGCAAAGACATGATCAGAAAGCAAAGACATCACCAGAAAACAATCTCTCCAAGATAATCAGTATTCTGTACTTGCAGAAGACTCTGTATGCTCTGTATGTTTGTGGGTGTTGATTTGACAAACAACTTCACTAAAAATGCCTGCCCCAATGCTCTCATGCCTCCCACAAATTAATTTAAAAGTTGTTTAATTAAATCAATTCTTGCCCCCCCCCCCCCGGCATAAAACATAAACAGCATAATCTGTTAAGAGAATTCTGGTACAGGATTGCTGAACAGGAGGCCATGGTCCCTCATTCGCAGTCACCTGGCAACGGAGAGGCCAGGTGCTACTACTTAGAAAAAACACAAAGAAGCAGTGTCCAGGCCATCTAAAACAGTTCCCACCTCCAGTTCATATCTATGTTCAAGACGTCAATGAAAAAGTTTTGGGAAATACACCTTAGAAATGACCTATGTCTAATCCAGGCTTCTTTCCTTACACTGTGGAGTGGAAATCTCACGGTGTCAAACACACCTCCTTGCTCAACTTCCTTATTTCTCACGGGGGGGGGGGGGGGGGGCACAGACAGAAGGAAGGCGGAGCTTCTCAGGAGGCTAACGGAGGTAAGCAGGTAATATTATCTCATAAGCTTCTGGTGAAACAGGGCAGCAGCAATCAGACTGGCAAGCAAGAGCTAAGAGGGGCTTAGGGAGAGCGCTCTGTGGGTAAGACTGCTTGCTGGACAAGCAAAAGGACGTGAATTTGAATCCCCAGCAACCACACACACACACACACAAAGTCAGGCAGTCACACATTCCTGTAATACCAGCATGGAGGCGGTGGGGCAGGGGAACACTCTGATTTCTGGAGCTCCCTAGCCAGCCAGCCTAGCCAAAATGGGAGAGCTTTAGTTTCAGTGAGAGACCTTGCCCCCCAAAAATAAGGTAGGGGCTGGTGTAAGCCAGCACTTGGGAGGCAGAGGCAGGCAGATCTCTGGGAGTTCAATACCAGCAAGGCCTACGTAGTGAGATCCTGTCTCAAAACAGAAGAAACGCTCCTCTGAGCTGGCCGCTAGGTGTGATCCTTTGCTTCTCAGTTGTGTCGAGCTATGAGGTAAATGTGATGCCACACACAGGATGCAAAAGCAACTAGTGGCCTGAAATAAAACGCTCTGTTATTGTTCTTAGTAACACTGTATGTACACTGTGGTTTCCGCCCTGGAGAATATCTGAGAACCACAGTCCTGTATTAAAACACTGATTTCCTATCTCACCAGCAGGCGTAGGCTACAGTTAAAGAAGGAGGGAAGATGAGGGGGCTGGAGAGGTGGCTCAGTGGTTAAGAGCACTGGCTGCTCCTCCAAAGGCCCTGAGTTCAATTCCCAGCACCCACATGGTGGCTCATAACTGTCTGTAATAAGATTTGGTGCCCTCTTCTGGCCTGCAGGACTACTTGTAGGCAGAACACTATATACATAATAAGTAAATTTTTTAAAAAACAAGAGGGGAAGATGAGCTTTCAGAAATGGACATTCACCCACATATCTTAACGAGATAGGATAAAACCCCCAACAACCGGACTAGATAGAAACTGGTTACCTCTTCTCTCTCTCTCTCTTTTTGTATATTCTTCTCTCATACAATACATCCTGACCAGTTTCCCCACCCCAACCACTCCTCTCCTCCAGATCCTCTCCTCCTCTGTTCCCTTTCAGAAAAGAGCAGGTCTCCCAGGGATATCAACCAAACACAGTATAACAAGTTTCAATAAGACTAGGCACAAGCCCTCATATTAGGGCTGGGTGAGGCAACCTGGTAGGAGCAAAAGGGTCCCAAGGGCAAGCGAAAGAGTCAGAGACACTCATACTCCCATTGTGAGGAGTCCCACAAAAAACACCAAGCTAACAACCACAATATATTTGCAGAGGACCTAGCACAGACCCATGCAGTCTCCGTGATTGCTGTTTCAGTCTCTGTGAGCCCCTATGAGCCCTGTTTAGTTGATTCTGTGGGCTGCATTCTCCTTAAACTGGGTGGTGGTAGCACAAACCTTTAATCCCAGCACTTGGGAGTCAGAGACAGGGGGATCTCTGAGTTTGAAGCCAGCCTGGTCTACAGTGTGAGCTGGTTATTTTTTTTACCAGAGAAAATAAATGATAACTAAGGGATGTCATAGGACCTGGAGTAATGATGCCATCGGATGCTAGTCTCCAGGAATTGGGGAGGAGACAGCCCACCGAGTGACCTACAGGCTTACGATTTATAGGATGAGGTAGGTGGAAATGGAGACATTCCATAGAGATTTCAGCCAGCCAGTTCTCTGCAGCGTTTCCTTTCTTTTGAAATCTCATCCAATAGATCACAACAGAGTCTGATGTTACTTCCACATCTCCAGGAACAAACAGATTGGCTCCAAAGGTGGATACTTCCCTGCCTCTTGACTACTCAGGGATTCAACTCTAACTCCGTGATCCTTTCCAAAGAAGGAAATGGTATGATTCCTTCACATGCCCTTTCCCCACAGAAGGAGAGACTCAATAATCCCACTGCCATTTCCCACGCTAAGAAAGTAGATCTAGTTCCCTGACCTTTGACACTAGACTTGGTCATGTAACATGCTTTGAGTACTAGGATGATATGAGCTTGAGGACACAATTAGAAACTGGAAATGGGACACCATAGATGGCTTATGTGCTTGCCCTTGCCATCACCATGAGAATATACGCTGTCACTAACAGTTGGTACCAGGAATAAATAGAATGAGAGGCATGTTTAGTAAAGCTATGCCCATATGAGCTCAGCCTAGAATTATCTGGTTCCCCTGTTCAACCTGCAGCAGGGTGAAGAAATGGGCATTATTGTATTTCACAGGGATCTTGTAATAGTATGGATTTTTTTTTTTTTTTTTTTTTGAGATAGGGTTCCTCTGTGTAGCCATGGCTAGCCTATAACTCATTATGCAGACCAGACTGGGATTAAAGGTGTGCCCAGTCTGTAGTTGTTTGTGGCAACAACCGATACATCCAACACAATACTAGTTTACCCGTAGTCAAAGAGTTAAAATAGTGTTTGCTTTTCCTTAACATGTAATAAAAATAAGACATCTGTGGTAGTTTTCTCCATTACTCCATAAATTTGGAGTCCTATTACCTTTCTAATACCCAAGACTCATGAGTTCATGCCATGTTCTAAGCTCCAGAGAACCCAAGGGTAAAGATTACATAATTCTAATTATCAATCTGCACCTGTGATTTTTTTCCCCCATCTAGCATCTGGGCCAATGTGCTTTCCCTGAAGACAATAATAAAGTATATTTCTGCAGTTGAAAGTAGAGTCAGTAACAAATTCTGAAGCACCAAGTGTTACTTGCTTAAGTACTGGACAAACTGGAATCGTTGCATTTGCAGTAATGACAATCTAGTGGATTGGCAAAACCAACCAGTTACTACTAGCTGTTAATCTTGGCCAATCACCAGAGCTTTGCACATTATAGAGTCTAAATCGCCATCAATAGATATTTGATGAAATACTGGCACAAGACACAGGCCTGTACTGTTAAAAACCACCATGGCAGTGGTAACAATCATAAGACTTGAGGACCTCTCACCCAACACCAATTTAACAGAACTCCATGTGCTGACCAAATCAATCCTGTGATGACATTAGTTGATACAAAAAATGTGCACAGGAACCAAGTCCAGGTAGACCAAATGTATCAGTTAATTGAGGGTTGCATAACAAACCAATCTATATCCTAGCCTAAACCAATAAGTATTTATTAGTGGTCATTAGTCTGTGGTTTGTCTGATCTCGGCTGGGCCATCCTAGTGTCTGGACATCTGGCTGGTAAAATCACTATCAGCTGGTGGACATGGATTTCTGCGGCATTCACTGTAAGCCATTCCAAGGTGCATCTACTCTAAAAGAGTAAGCACAAGTATATGATGTCTCCCAAGATCTGGACTAGGGAGCACACACTTTACTTCTGCATGTCTAGTGGCCAAAGCAAGTAATGAAGCCAAGCTTAGCTCGGAAGTCTGGGAAAAACAAACACCACCACTTGGTAAAAGGAGCCACAAAATCATGCTGCAATGGGATAGATTCCAAGAGAATGACAGGACCTCCCCCACTTCTTTTTGCAATCAATTTATTACATAGAATGAGGGGGAAATGTCAGCTCGAGTCATGTGTGATTCCTAAGCAAGGGCCATCATTTGGACTTTCATCTAGAAAAGATCCAAGGTTCTCACGTTAAAGCTTCATCCCTATTTCTACTTCTGCCTGTGCTTGCAGACGCCTGCACAAACCCCTTAAAATCCTTACGACCTCAGCCTTGCACCAAAGCAGAAGCAATCTGTGTGCTTCCAGCACGTTGTATATCACTGTTTGGGGGCATCTGAAGATGTGGGTGACATGAGAATCTGGTCAGGGCAAACCTGTCTCTCTGCAATGTCTCTTCCTGGCGTGGGATGTGACTAGACATGAAATGTGACGTCGCTGATGAGAGCTACATCCTCGGAGAACATGCACAACCTTAACATGAGGAGCACCAGAGCACGAGAAGAAATGCTACATGACAAAGATGACATGTAAGAGCTGCAAACAGCCCAGAGAAGCAGGAACACTGGAGCTTGCTGGAGACTACAGGCTGATGGCTATTATACCTTAGCCACAGACTGCTGGCCCAGCTAGCCAGTTTCTTCCCTCTGCCTCCCTACTTCGTTTACCCTTGCTCCATGGTTACCACTTGGGAAACATGCAAAAACCACCTTGACTACATCTACAACTGTTCTCCCCGCCCCCCATCTATGTTCCACCGTGTTTGCAGCCTGGCTGAGACTTAGAAGCAGTTATTATCCAATAAGGTACTGCTTCTGTTTTTTGTTTTCTAGAAAAATCACCATGACCTTTTGGAGAATGCCACTGGCCACCGCCGCTCACTCGAATGCTTTAAATGCCTACTTGTGAGGTCTGGTCAGCATGGGGCGGCAGAAGAAAGAATTCCAGCCAGCCGAACACAGCACGACAGAGGAATAGCCTCAACTAGGTAGTTCCTAAAGGGTCTTGGGAGGGAATTCTTCAAGTGGGAAGGGGAAAGTATACCTTTCTCAAAAAACAAAGCTGTCTGGAATACATAGCCTAACTCTGACTTATTAATGTTGAATAAAAAAAAAGAAAAGAAAAGAAAGAAAAGGAAAGGACATGACTTCTCCTAGGTTGGTGGAGGAGAAAGTTTATTGCATAAAAAAGAGAGCACAGCCGGAAGCAGGGACATCTGGGAGAGTGTGGGGTGGACGTGACCCTAACTGAGCTGGGCCATGTGAGGAGAGGGGGAGGGGAAGAGAGAGGGGAGAGATGGGAGCCAGGTGCAGCAGCCAAGGGGGCAAAGGTACAAAAAGGGTAGATAACAAAAATGTCTGGGCTATACAGGGAAGAGCCTCTGGGGGAGGGGCGGCCCAGCCCCTATGCTGTCGAGTTGGGTTGGGGGTAGAGGGCAGGGTATGCCAGCCATACCCTCCCTGTAACAGGTAGGGACTGAGGGATGCTGGGAGAACCTGGTGGTCAGGTTGGGTTTGATATGCTAAACAGGCACCTCAGCCATTTGTCCCAGTGTTTGAGACTTAACAACTGTGTCTAGTTTTCAACCTGCCGGGTAGCATCGCTGCTTACAATACCAAGCACCAACAGTACAAACCGTAAGAGAATAATGAGAGATGCTAAATTTGCCATGAAGATGGCCTCAGAAAAGCCCCGTTAAGCAGGCACTGCATCCCATTTGTTTCAAGTCAGAAGCCCAGGACGTTAGGGCATCGATGGGAGGAATCATCAACTACTCTCTTCCAAAATGTATTCTGTCCCAGATCTGGGCATGAGACAGGTTTGGTAGGGAGAGTGATACAATTTTACCACAACCCTGAAGTACTCCGTGTGCAAACGCTTGCAGAGCCAGAACGGCACGGGATGGCTTGGTACTTGTCCAGTTGCTCTCTGTCATAACTGGACAGTCACGCATTTAAACTAGGAATTTCCAGGTAAAACCACCCCCGCACAACGTTTCTCACTTCAAAATAAGTGCCACACTTGGATCAGAAGATGAAGAGCTGGCTGATTGGGAGGCAGTCAGTTAGTCTCAGCTTTTAATTAGCCAAGGGGGAGGCCACTGGGATAAGGAAGCAAACATCTGGCATTATCACCCCAGGAACACCGATAATGACAATGAAGACAAGCTAAGACTCTCTGCAGCAGGAGGCCCGCAGGGCTTCCTACGGACTGGAGGGGGAGCATGAAGTCCCTTAAGAAGAGGCTTTTCACCCAGCTCCCCTCCCCTCCTCTCTCACAAACCAACTTTATGCTCAGTGCTCTCCTGCCTTCATTTTTTTTTTTTAAATGCTGTTCATTGCTGCTCGAAAAACCCAGGTTTGCTTGGTATAGGCAGCTCCTTATCTAGAATCCTTGTGCTACCTGGACCAAGGTGCCCAAGGATGATGCATTGGAGAGGCACCTGGGTGTTTGCCAGATATCCACATGTATCACACACGCAGGGTGTGGTGTCTCTGCTTAGGGCAATTTCTGTCATAGTTTCTACTCTGCTTGCCTCTCAGCTCAGCGTCTTCTCACTCTACTGTAATCATGCGGTAATTCCTTGGGGCTGTTAAAAGAACAGCATGTCTCAAACATACTTGTGTGATCGAATTAGCTTTACCCATTGCTTTATCTTGCCTTTCAGACATTGTTTCTTTCTCTCTCTCTCTAGGTATTCAGGTTGAGGTTGGGCTGGGAAACAGAGGCAGTTGAGTCCTTCATATGCCAGGGCATTCATTCAATGGCTTGTTTTCAGAAGATCTGAAGCACGAGAGACTGTTAACAATGCACAACTTGATTGCTCTGAATGACTCTCACCCACGGAACTGGGAGAGAAACCCTTGGCCCAAGCTCGGGACAAGAAACCTGCTTCCCAGCTTCCTCCATTTGCCTGGCGACCCTCCTCTCAGAGTCTTGAGCATGCCGAACAAAGATCTCAGTTTTCCCCCTTAAATACCACACGAGGCCCACAGCCAACACCAGCCCTTTCTCTTCCCGGAGTGTTGCCGCTTTAATTTAATTCTTCCGTGCTCACAGAAATTTAATTAAACTCACTTATCTCTTAAGACCTTTCCCCCTGCAAAACACCACCTCTTGTCACCTCCCCACAGTAAAACCTTTGAAAATAGGATTTGCTCTTTGCTTTTCAGACAAAAATGTCATGCTGGTTTACTTTAAAGCTATAGTAATAATTGAAGATGTACACTTCAGTTAGTCAGAAGGGCCCATGTATTAAAATGACCACAAGTCCTTAGCACTGTTTTTCTCTCAAAGCCTATTTGGTTATTCAGTGAGCAATTTGGAAGTGGTGGTGGTGGTGGTGGTGGTGGTGGTGGTGGTGGTGGTGGTGGTGGTGGTGGTGAAGTGCAGGGGAGTGGAGAGGTGGGGGTGAGGTTTGGCGTGGATACTCTCTACGAGGCCAAAAGGGTAAGTTATACCAATCAGAAGTCATGAGTATGTTAAGTTTGGTTTTAAGCCAGGCTATCAGGTTACAGGTTCTAATAAACTGTGCCAGAGAAAGACATTTCTTTGTCTCAGGACCACTGAAAACTAACCAAACGGAACACCTCTCAGAAACTCTCCCACCTCATCACAATTGAACAGGAAAGCCAATACTACAGCCAACAAGGTCCATGGAGAGATCCCGTTGCAGGTAGCCCTTACCACTGTGAGCTGAGTCCCCCTGGGAACCCTGGCCCGGGCTCTGGGTCCTCCCGGTTCAAGGAGGTGGTGGTGACGAGGGGTCCTGGTAGTGGGTGCGGGTAGAGGTGTGCTCCGTGCATGCTTCGACAGGACTGCAGCTGTCTGCCTGCCTGGCTGCCTGTCTGCCACTCAGTCCTCTTGTCTGGGTGGGAAGGGCCAAGATGAGGGGGGAGGAAAGCGCAGGTTACTCACTGGCCTTCCCAGGCAGACACACCCAGGAGGAGGGAGAGGCAAGGCCGACTGGGAGATTCTTCTCAGGCCCTGCCTGAGCTCATTCTGATTCCTTTTGTTATTACTTCCTGAACTCTGAGCTAAGTCGGCTTGAGCCCAGGTGCTGAAGGGAGAGGTAAATAACAGTGGGTGATTGATTAGCTTGCAAGAATGTAATGTAAAGGTTGCTTCAAAAGGAAGATACTTAAGCATACACCTTCAGACTGACCCCCCCCCCCCCCAACACACACACATTTGATCCTGTTGTGTTTAGGTTATTGACATTGAACCAACAGAAAAGTGAATGGTTACCCTGGGGCAGAAGCTGGAAGTGCCCGGAGCAAGAAAACCAGAAAGTTCTTAGAAAATAACCTGTCGACTCAATTCTAGAGAAATGGGATGCTCAGCAGTCTCCTACAGTCTCTGGACAGAATTTTGTATAAGATGCACGTTGAGATGGAAATCTGTAAACGGAGATGATGGAAATGGAGCCACATAGTCAAGGCAAGGACTGTCACCGGATAGCGGGGTGGTGGGTAGATCCTGAAAGGAAGCCTTTCTCAGATAAAGGAACCATATTGTGACTTGTCTGTCAGGGTATTTGTGGGTGTGTGGAAACAAAACCAGCCCTGGTAACTCAAAGAAGATTGAGAACAAGAATCAATCTTGGTACTTTCTACATGCCAGATGCTTCTCATTTAATCCTAAAACTCGTTTAGGAAGGAGGTGTGCTTCTTCCTTCATATAGGAGCACAGGCTCAGCCAGCTGCTGAGTAGAAAACGTAGATTTTTGGACTCTGGTTTGCCAGAATTCAAGACCCCATACTGTCCCAGGACACCATCAGGCATGGCCGCACTACATTAAACAAAGCACCCCTTCACTTTACCTAAGACCAAGACACCTTTTCTCAAATTGGTATAGGTTCCCCCAAAACTGGTATTTCATGAGCTAGAAGTCTGTGGAACAAAATAAAAAAAAAAAAAAAGTTTCCTTATTGTAGTGTCTCAAAGCCTTTAACAAGCTAACATAAGGCAAAGCAACATTGGGTGACTCATGTGTGAACTCACAGCACTCTCTGAGGCAGAAGGATGGCCACCAATTTGATGCTTGCCTAGTGAGACCCTATCTCAACAAATAAATAAGCCGGATATGTGTGGTGATACAAACTTTTAATCCCACGCAGAGGCAAGAGAATCTCAAGGCCAGCCTAGTCTATATAGTGAGCTCCAGATGAGCCTGGTCATATGTAGTGAGACCCTGTCTCCAAAAGGAAGAAAAAATTAAAAAAAAAAAAAAGCTGTGGGAAGGGAGGGCTGCAGGGAGAACAGGGGGAGTTTAATTCCCAGCACCCTGACACTGAAGCTCAAGGAGTCCGAACAATCTCTTCAGGCATTCAAGGACACCTGCACACGTATGGTATATATTCACACTGACACACATGTAACTAAAAATAAACCTTGAAAATTTATTTTAAAGAGTAGCAGCAGCCTGGCGGTGGTGGTGCACACCTTTGGAAGACAGAGGCAGGTGGATCTCTGTGAGTTCGAGGCCAGCCTGGTCTACGGAGTGAGTTCCAGGACAGCCAGGGTTTCACAGAGAAATTTTGACCCCCAACCAAAAAAATTAAAAAGCTAATATATATTGTGAATCTGCAGGCCTGGGGGCTTGTGCTTACCTTTCTCAAAGGGATTTGGGTTTTGTTTTTCTTGATGAGGGGATGGTTTGAATTCAGCAAACACTAATAGGGAGACAAGTTACTGTCTTTTTCTCTTCCTCTCAAAAATTATTTTTAAACTTATAAAAATGCATTATGAAAACTTTCAAGTGGTCTATAAGGCTATAAAATAAAAAGTAACTTCCCCCTTATTCCCCAAACTAGTTCCATTCCTCAGAGGAAAGAAAGCACCGCTAACATTCCTTGTGTTTCTGGCCACACTGAATACACTTTTTCAAATAACACACCCAGGCTAAAGTATACCCCTGCTGTGCTATGCGGCACATCTTTTTAACTTAATGATATAGGAGGATATTTTCCATATCAGCATATTGAACGGCTCTTAGCACATCAGAGTCAAGAGGAATAAAGGTCAGGGCTGGGGATGATGTTTAATGGAAGAGCTCTTGCCCGGCATGTGCACAAACCCAGAGTTTGATCCCCAGCACTGGGAGGACGGAAGGGAAAGTACAAGGGGGAGTCTAAAATATGGGGTTACTGCACTATAGAACTGTTCTCATGGGCAGGGCGGTGGTGGCGCATATCTTCAATCCCAGCACAGATCGAGGCCAGCCTGGTCTACAGAGGGGGTTCCAGGACAGACAGGGCTACACAGAGAAACCCTGTCTCGGAAAAAGAAACAACACGGAACAAATAAAGAAACAAATAAGTGTCCTCTAGGGGCTGGAGAGATGACTCAGAGGTTAACTGTTGCCAGCACCCACCTGTGCGCTCACAACAGACTGTAACTTGGGTTCCAGGAGCTCAGACACCTTCTTCTGGCTTCTGAGGGCACCAGGCAGGCAAGTGGTGTTCAGACACCTATTCAGGCCAAACAGCCATAGACATAACATGATTTTTTGTTTGTTTGTTTTAATTAAAAGTATCATCTACGTGTGTCAAGGTAAGCTTCACGGATCTGCCTGGCTTCCCACTCCAGTCCTGGTTTAAACTCCACACTTGAGGCTTAGGTGTAGAAGGGGGAGACTCTAGCACCTACCTCACGGTAAAGACCTAGCAATGGTGGCAACAAAAATGGGGGGGAAAATGCTCACTGAGTACTTACTATGTGCTTGGTGCTTTTTAAAAATTCTTATTATGTATGGACTCCATCCTTTCTTTCCAGAACCCTGGGGAGCAGAGGCTGTTGTTTGAAAGAGCCCCACCACTGTGTGTGGTGAGCATGGCGGAAGGGCCCAGGAAAAGCTTAAAACTGCTGGACTAACAAAGAAAACAGTCTCAAGGGCCCTGGTCCCTGATTTTGCCACAAGGTGTTCTTCACGTGGGATTATGACGTCATTTGCCTGGAGTAACGGTTCTGGTGGAGGATTTCAGCTTGGTGCTCTATAAATTCCAGACACAACCAGTAACTCTGTTTTGGCCTTTTTATTACTATTATTACATCTGGGGGCTGGAGAGATGGCTCGGTAGTTAAGAGTGAACCTGCTCTTCCAAAGGACCCTAATTCAGGTCCCGGTATCCACATCAGGCAGCTCACAGCCCACGACAACCCATAACTCCACCTCTTTAGGCACCTGCACTCATGTGTACACACTCTGTACCCACCCACAGACACATAATTAAAAATGAATATCTTAAAATTACATTTTATTTACTGTGTGTGTGGAGGGGTGCGTGTGCACATACATGTTGTAGCTCATGTGTAGACGTCAAAGGACAATTTATGGGAGTCAGTCATCTCCTTCTACTGTGTGGGTCCCAGGAATATAATTCAGATCAAGTTAGGCAGCAAGTGCCCTTACCTACAACAGAAACCGAGAGTGCCTCAAATAGTCTCTCCTTCTTAAAAATTATTTTTAAATGTTTTTCTTTCACACTTTCATACATAATGTATATTGTTTATATTCACTTACATTATCGTCCCTTCTCTCCTCTCCCTCCCACCAAACCTTCCTTCCTTCCTTCCTTTCTTTCTTTTTTTTTTCAGAGACGGGGTTTCTCTGTGTAGTTTTGGTGCCTGTCCTGGATCTTGCTCTGTAGACCAGGCTGGCCTTGAACTCACAGAGATCTGCCTGACTCTGCCTCCTGAGTGCTGGGATTAAAGGCGTGTACCACCACTGCCTGGCCCACCAAACCTTTCTTATTCCCAGCAAGTCTCCCTCTACTTTCATGCTTTGAGTGTGTGTGTGTGTGTGTGTGTGTGTGTGTGTGTGTGTGTGTGTGTGTTTGTATATGTGTGTGTATGTGAGTGTGCGTATGTATGTATGTGTGTGAGTCCCCCACTGAATATAATTATATTCACTTGCATGAGCACAGGAGGGGGTTATTCATTTGAGCAAGGGTGACTTACCTGTGGCTATGCCACTGAGAAAGATGACTCCCTTTCCCCAGCAACCATTAACTGTCTACAGCAGTTCAGGGAGGGGTGGGGCCTCCTGACCACGCCCCTTCCACATGCCATGTTGGCAGGCCCAGCTTGTGCCCTCAAGCACTGCTGCTGTGCGTTCCTGGGGGCATGGTGGGTGCAACAGCCATGCCAGGCCAGAAAACAGCATTTCACAGCACCCCTTCCCATTCTCTGGCTCTCACATTCTTTCTACCCTCTCTTCTGGGATTTTTCCAGAGCCCTGGAGAAGGTGATACCGATGCCATGTTTAGACAGCCCCTCTTTTACTACTGAAAGAAATAATGTTTCATAGGTTGCATGAGTCTTCTCTCGGCATACATACTTTCTTACACTGAGCAATGAAACAATTCTAAACTGAGAATGCACCTGAACCCCTGACTCTAACACATGGTGTGCATAGAAACATAATGTGTCATAAATATGATGCCAATATACAAGTTACAGCAAGAAATAATGCACTTCTATTATTAATAATCTTTCCTGTCCGCCACTTAAACACCCCTACCCGCCCCCAGATACGGTTTCTCTGTATAACAGCTCTGACTATCCTGGAACTCCCTTTTTAGACCAGGCTGGCCTCAAATTCTGCCTGCCTCTGCCTCCTGAGTGCTGGGATTAAAGGCGTGGGCCAGGTCTACCTATTGCAATTTTAAAATCATTTGAGGAATGATTTTAATGACTCATTCTTAGGAAAAGCTGTCCAGAAATAATATGAATCAACATCTTATTTTCTCAACAGATAGTTCTGTTCAAAACAAAACAAAACAGAGCCCTTCAAAAATAGCTCCCTGGGTTTCAATCCTCCCAATGCAACTTTTTTTTTTCCCCCCGAGACAGGGTTTCTCTGTGTAGCTTTGCGCCTTTCCTGGAACTCAATTTGGAGACCAGGCTAGCCTCAAACTCACAGAGATCCACCTGCCTCTGCCTTCCAAGTGCTGGGATTAAAGGCATGCGCCACCACTGCCCGGAACAATGCAACTTTGGAAGCATCTCCATGGCTTAGTTTTAAGCTCTTGATTTGCTCCATTTCTCCGCACACCTTCCCAAACAAAGGAAGCCTTGTAGAGGAAGTGACAGATGTCAGACTAACAGAAGGGACAGCAGTGACTCACATTCCTGTAAGGTGGTTACAATTGAGTGAATGCTATACATTTCACTCTAAGATAGGAAAAAAAAAAAGGACAGAGAAATTAACCCATTTTCACCGTCCCTTTGGCTCCCCCTATGATAGTAGACTGTAACTTCCAGAGCGCTAGAACACACAAGAGCTTAGCAGCTGTTGGAGTATTTGTTCGCACCTCCCACGCTCTCTCCTCTAACTTAGAGGAGTCTTCATATCCAATGGGATCACAGCTAACAAGTGTATTTGTTCTTATTCTCAATTATACTGAACAGTCACTGCCCATCTGGAAAGACAGCAACATCTGGAGTCGGTAATACAGCTGCTCCCCGAAACAGGCAGCACTAGGAAGATAGAAACGCTTGCTTATATCTTTAGCTGTTCTAGACTCAGTGGGAAGGAAGAAACAGTCAAGTGTACACTGGTGTGGAAGACATATTTGAACCCTGCTACCTATGCTCTGATGAGTCATCATTGGGAGTTCCAGATTCCTGGTCTCTCAAGAGAGAACAATATTAGGTGGTTGACGGGCTGTGACGGAAGGTTAGCTGAGAGGCATCTGTGAAACATCTTGTACCTTGCAGAGGACTGCTCAAGTGCT